TGGGCTTCCCTCCCGCCCCGGGGAGAGGAGTCGGCCCCGGGCAGCTGCGGGTGGCTGCACTCGTGTTCAATGAAACGGCGGCGTCAGGGATGTGTAACGGCGCGGGCATCCCGGAGGGCTCCCTAATTGTGTTTGGTTCTTGGAAAGCGAAAGCCGTGACTAATTAGCAGTAATTACTGGGAGTCCTGCTCAGCCGCCCGGCAGTAAGGAGTTCAGCTGGCACCCGGGACACCTTGGGAGAGCCTTTTGCGCTAATAAATAGCAAATAGCGCGGTGGCAGTCGGGCTGTGCTGTAAAGTGATCCGTGCACACACGGGAGGGCAGCGGTTCTCTCTGCTGCATGAAAGGTTTTGCTTTTGAGAAGTTTTATTATTTTGTGTTACTTGTTGCAGAATTACCAGAGCTACATAAGCTGAAGCAACTCCGTTGCCAACATGTTTCTGTACAACCTAACGTTGCAGCGTGCCACGGGCATTAGCTTTGCCATCCATGGCAATTTCTCAGGTAATTTTCTCCTCTCTCTGCGTGACTTGGCTTGGGGCTTTTTTGGGTACCGGTTTGCTTTGGTATCTCTGGGGGTTTTTGCTCGTACATTATCATTTGTTATTGAGTGTTACTTGAGCTGTGGTAGCTTGTGGATAGATTGAGGGAAGTTTGGCTTGATTATCAATCTAGATTATCTATAGGTTTAGTTTAATATCCTGACCAATTTTCTGATGTGTTAAAAGCTGTTCTAACAATGATGGTACGTAATGTGGTGAATAAGTTTCTTTGAGTTTCTCCATGGTAGTCTTAAAATTGGTATTTGGAAGTTTGCCCTTCTTCCCTTGTAGCACTTGTTGAAGTTGTGTGTTGTCTTCTGTTGCTGACTTGTGCTCGTGTTTTGGTTTCTTCAGGAACCAAACAACAAGAAATTGTTGTTTCCCGGGGCAAGATCCTGGAGTTACTGCGCCCCGATCCCAACACGGGCAAGGTTCACACGCTGCTGACCGTGGAGGTGTTTGGGGTCATCCGCTCCCTCATGGCCTTCAGGCTGACGGGGGGCACCAAGGATTACATCGTGGTGGGCAGCGACTCGGGGCGCATCGTCATCCTGGAGTACCAGCCCTCCAAGAACGTCTTCGAGAAGATCCACCAGGAAACCTTTGGCAAGAGCGGCTGTCGCAGGATCGTTCCAGGCCAGTACCTGGCTGTGGACCCAAAGGGCCGTGCTGTCATGATCAGTAAGTCTCTCTGTCAGCTTCTGTTCTTAGTGTTTTTATCTTCTGTCTTGTGGATTGAAGCCCCAAAACGGATAGCCTT